GCTTGAGCCACATCCCCAGCCCCTAATAAATCGGTTTTTATTTTGTCACCATATATTCAGTGACACTTGATATGATCTTTTCATTTCTCACCTCTGGTCTTGAGTTAAGATAGTTATAGCAAAAGATGTTGTATAAATTAAGCAGTAGAAGGTATGTGCCTACAATTATACTAGTGCACATAGTAGGTACTGAAAAATTAATTATTATAATTACTACATAATAGACGGTACTGAAAAATTAATTATTACTATGGTTCTAGTACTTTACACATAACAAATTAAAAAATCCAGTAAAAGAGAACTGATTCCATTACTTTAAAAAGGCAATACTTATTTTAAATTGTGTCACATTTTTAAAAATATTAGAAAAAAATGCTTATTCATAAATATCTGTGTTAATATTAAAGGCTCCAACTCATTTGTCTCCTGAACTTACATGAGCTCATTGTTTCTGATGATCTTAACAGCCACTTCTTGGTTGGCTCTTGCATTATCTCTGGCTCGTACAACATTACTGAATACACCTTGCCCAGTGTAGCCATACACATTGTAACGCTTATCTAGGACTTCACCTATGTTYACACCTAAGAAAACAAATTAAAAATTTAGAGGTCTTACTATAATAATGAACAGAAAACTGGAAACACAAAACAATCACTTAAAAATTGTGTAAAAACTGTACTATGCGGTTTTCTACAAGAGGGAAAATCAGGATTTGAAAGTCATTCTTTCAAAAATGTAGTTAGAAGTTATATGCCCATTTAGATAACTACAAGAAGAGTTTCTGTTCTAACACTGAGTAGGGAAGAAATGTTCCATGAAACATTTTAAATTGTATTCTTGCCTATCAAATACTGCACTACTGGCATTCAAAGTTCTTTCTATGTCATTTTTCTTGGTTTCAGATCAAGAAAAGCAAGTGATAGACCTCTTCCTTCTAAGGCATTATTTTGTGGCTGAAAATCACTTTGATTAGATTTAGGTTGTATATCAAGTCTTTATATCTCACCTCAATTTGCGATGCTTCTTGGCTGCTTACTAGAATACAACAGGGATTCATGCAATAGGTGCATGTGCCATACTTTTAAGTGATGGCACTGTGATGGGATTTTTTGAAGTTCTCCAACAATATGTGACTACATCAGGCACAGTGTTTGGTTACAATAAACTCCTAAGTTAAGAAGAAATGTGAACTTACGATAATAGCCTTCTGCATCAGTCCAGTTATCTCTGAGGTTGGGATTCTCTTTGAAATCTTTTCCAATGCCAGCAGCCCTAAGTCGAGCACTCTGAAATTAAGGAGACATACATTATTTACTCACTTAATCACACATTCAAAGCACTTTCTTTATAACTAACAACAAAACTAGCATTTTGTCGCAAATTAAATAAATACAATATAGCTAAAATAGGATTACCAAATTGTCTTATATTACAACACCACTCTGGGGAGAAAAAAATAACAAAGAATCCCCAAAAACTAATGAGTATGATTAGTTCATTATTTAAAAAAAAAAAAAAAAACTCAAAATCAGATCTGGCTTTCTTTAGCTGATGTTATAATGTCCAACTCTTTCCTACCAACTTTAATCATTTCTTTCACTGCCCTCTCCATGAAGACACTGTGTTCTTTTCACTTATGCATGAAATGTATGACAGTTGTTGGCTGCACCAGTTGAGCCTATCTGGAAAATTAATCTACTACTTGGGATCAATCTTCTTTTGAACTTTGCTTCAATAATAATAAAACAAATAAAAGCAATAGCTTTTGGCATATGAACAAATATCCAGAAGATTCTTTAATACTGGTATAGTTTGGATCTTCAGTGTCCCCTAAAAGGCTCATGTGTTGAAGGCTTAGTCCCCAGGGCAGCACTATTAGGAAGTCTTTAGGTCACTGATGACAGGACTTTGAAGGGAAATGCGGAATCCCAGGCCCTCTTCACTCCCTTCCACCCTTCCTGACCATGAGGTGAGTGAATCTGTTCCACCATGTATTTGTACATGCTGTATAGCCTAACCACACACAGGGCCATAGCAATGAGGCCATGTGACCTTGGACTCCCCAAAAGTGGCAGCAAAATTAAACATTTTCTAAGTTGGTTATCTCAGGTATTTCATTATAGTAACAGAAAGCTGAATGACACAAGTATCACCTAGGCAAATGAAGGCTAACAATACTTCAGTTGGTTCAATACTTCATTTGATCCTCTCTTAATCCATTTTTTGGTATCTCTCTTATAGTTTATACATCACAGATTACCGGAGGCAATTGCCAATGAGTTCATACACTATTTCTACACCATTAATTTTCCCTATTRTGTTTATCCTCCCTACTTCCTCTTACTAAGACCTTATATTTCTCATATCCTTTTAAATTTATATTGAAAATAGCCTCACACTTTTGAGTGCATTGATAGTTGTTCTCAACTGCATACAACACAGAAGTCAAAAAGTAGACTAATAAAAGGCCTGGGAAATACTGACATCACTTTATCTCACCTAATCACCACATATATGAATGTACGCTTATTTACATGTGTATTGAGACACACATATGCACATAATTATACATGTAGTCGTTTGATGCGTGACTTTCATGAAGCTCTCAAATTACTCTGCTGTGCTTGCTTTAAAATTTTGATACAAATTCAGATTTAGAGGAAAGGTACCAAACTAGGTACCCTTCACTCAGATATTAACATTTATTATATTAGTGTTATGCTCACTTCTGCGTGTATGTAAACAGACATACACATATTTTTACTTTGTGGCACTGGAGATTGAACCCAGGAGTACCCTACCACTGAGCTATACACCTTCTTTCTTGCTAGGCTGCTGAGGATGGCCTCAAACTTGTAATCCTTCTGCCTCAGTCTCCTGAGTCACTGGAATTACGGGTATGTCCTGCTTCATACACACATGTATTTCTTATATAAATTTTACTGTAGTTGATTTAAAAATTACTTACATCAAAATATGCAGCAAACATATCATCAGATTCTGTAAACATATCAGGTGCTAAAAGTTTTTTCTGAGATGAACCTTAAAAAAAAAAAAAAAAAGAAGCCTTAGTATTTGAAAGATGAAAACATACAAATTGAAATATAAGTCAATGGAAAGTCAGTTAATAGTAGTTAACTTTGGCCACTGTTAAGCTTAAGTAAGCAAGTAAAGAGCTGAACAATTTTGTATTAAAGTGAAAGTATTCTTTTAAAAACAAACATGTCCCCACCCCCACCAAACAAAAACTATTTTAAGGGGCTGGGTTGTAGGTCAGTGTAAAGCACTTGYCTAGCATGTGTGAGGCACTGGGTTTGATTCTCGGCAACACGTTAAAAAAAAATTTCCACAGAAAACTGCACAAAAATAAACCCCATGACCTTAGGAGGCTGAGGCAGGAGGATCACAAGTTCAAAGCCAACCTCAGCRACTTAGCAAGGCCCTAACCAACTTAGTGAGAACCTGGCCAAAATAAAAACTAAAAAAAGGTCTGGGGTGGTTCAGTGAAGTGCCTCTAGGTTCAATCCACAGTATTTAAAAAAATAATAAATAAAAGCAATAGCTTTTGGAATATGAACATATACCTAATTTCAGTTACTATACAGAAATGTGAATTAATTAAAACTACAATGTGGTATCAGTTCTMACCTATAATACTGGCCCCAAATCAAGAAGTATTAAAATAAAGATATTGTGTCCACCTAAAACTAAAAAATAAATATTAAAAAAAAACCTGAATGAATACTAATGAATTTTCTCTGGAGATTGCTAGGGCACTGTTTTTTATTATAAAAATTGGTCAATACACAGAAATAACCATACATTCATCCTGCTTTTCCTGTACAAACTATATTCTGGAATAACCAAAAGTGGAAGTTTCTTTCATAGAAGAACTAAAATTTAACAATTAAAAAGAATGATAGAAAAAAAATCACCATATTAGAACCCCCAATGAAATAATGTACCTTAGTAATGATCAAGGACTGCTAAAATCATTAGGTAAACATCCAAAGGCAAACTATATCAAATAGATGTGGTTCTTTCAATGGCAATAAAACAGGACAACTATACACCACATGTGATACAACAGTACAACACTACTAATATTTTTGCCAAAAAAATTAAACCTAAATCTACTGGTTTCTAATGTAAGCTATTAATTTTCAAGAAATACTGGAGTTAGAGGAAATCTCAGTACCCTGATGAGTAAGAGGAGAAAAACAAAACAGGATTAGAAAGAAAGAACTACTAAAGCTGAAGAAAGGTTTGAGATATCTATCCCATATGATTGGATTTTGAGTCAAACCATCCAACTGTCAATAGATACTGATAATAAATATTAAAAGATTATCCATTTCATTACATATACATATTCACCTGAAAATCTGTTTTAAAATGCCTCAGCAAGCAGAACAGAAGGTGGCGAAAATGTGGGAGTTCATTATACTATTTTTTGGGACATGTGAATGAATAAAGAAACATTTATACAAAACATTCATTACAATATATCTAATATATTATTGTGATATAGTTAGCAGGAGCAACAATTCTATTCCTTTTCACTTTTCCTCAACCCCAAATCTCATTGAAAGTATGGTCTCTCTAAAAAGTTATACAGCTGAAAATTCAGAGAAATGCATGGCCAGGACAAAAATCTATTTTACTCACCATTATTCTGTTCAACAGTCATTAAATTATGCTTGGCTTTTACTGATGCCTCAAATGTATCAACGTTTTCCSGTTCATACTCTTTAACATCAGCAGCTACTCGCTCTAGGATGTCATCTGGAGAAGGTGATCGTGTTCTAGTACTGCTCTGGGGGCTGCTTGGTTCAGATGGTACAGACATATTGCTATCTTCAGCAAGGTATTTATATTTCTGTAATTAACAATATGACATATTTTCATGAAATTGGATGCTAAATGAATTTACTACTTAATTTGTTAAGAGTTGTTGCACTGAAAAGTTAACAGTGTCCATGTAAAACAACAATATTTATACCTTTGTTTAATCAGATCCACGATCCCTTATGTAATTTCAAAATTCAAAAGAATTCTCAAGTTTGCCCCCTGCCTGTTTGGTGCACATTAACCATGTGGCAAAACCTGACCTGACCAGACCAGATGAGATGCTGTTTATCATCTTATTTATTCCCTCAGTGTAACCATCAGTACATCTCATTTTAGAAATACTAATGTAATAATCATGGGTCACTTCAGATGTCACTGAGGTGCTAAATGATATACACAGATGCACCATATTACCTTCCTAAAATGCAAAAATTTCTAAGTTCTGAAGCACCTCTGGCCCCAAGGACTGGAGATAAGGACTATCATAGTAGCTCTTTTTTTGTCATCTGTCATGAGAGAAGGCATTGTAGAAGGACTGAAGCCCACAAATGACCTACTGTACATAGCTTTATCTAAGGCTAGCCAAGGAGAAACAGAGTTTTCTATGGTAGCAAATCTCATCAATGAAGGACTTTATCACGATCTGTGTATAACACCCTTTTCCCATTCAATTTGCTCCATCACTCCAGTCTTCCTCCATTTAATTTTTTGTTTTGCTTTGTGGTGCAGGGGATTGAATTCAGGGCCTTGTGTGTGCAAGGCAAGCACTGTACCAACTGAGCTATATCCCCAACCCTATATCACTCTAGTCTTAAAATTATTTTTCAAATGTTTCATAAACAACCACATTTGCACTAGAAAGCTTGCCATTACTTTATAAACATTAAAATGTTTGCTTTTACAGTTAAAGGCATACATTTTTGCTAAATAAAATTCCTCTAATCTATTTAGAATTTATGTTCATTTTTAGAAAATGAAACCTCAAATTCTCATGTCTTACAAAGGAAGTTTGTATCAAAATTCCATGTATAATAAAGAGAAACATCTATTTTAATAACTAAAGTAACTCCTTCAAGTCTCACTAAGTTTGTGTGCTTCTTTTCTGAAGACCTCTTCAGATGTCATTTCTTTATTAAAGTAAAAAATCTGCACTAGAGCAGTGACTACTCAAGAGAACTGATTAAAAATAAATAAATAAATATCATACCTGGACAATTGCCTGTCTTTGTATTCTTCTCTGTTCTATTAGAGCTTCTTCATCTTCTTCCTCTACATCAAAATCTTCGAGACTTAAAAAAAAAACAAAACCCAAAAAAACACCAAAAACGTTTTTCAAACATCCTTAAGATATTCTATAACTGTAACTCTTTTACATCTTAATATTATAGCTGGAAAATGTCATTAAGTAAGAACAAAAAAAGCCATAAGCCACATTACTTGTTTTTCAACTGTGTCAGTTTTCTGATATGGAATGCTAGTAATATACATTTCCTGTCTATTTTCTTCTCACTTATTTCATGGTACCCAAACTGGGAACAAGAAAGATCCCTAATTTAGAAAAAGCACCACTGGCTCTTTCAGGGCTTTAGAAAGTTTATTTTACCTCACTGATACTCAATTTTATCACCTATAACAAAGAGGTCTAGGACCTATTCTGGGTCACAGAACCTTTTCAACGCTTATGAAAGGTATTGGCCCCTTTCATATAAAAAATACACATGCAAACACTTGTTTGTAATCTGAAAGGTAATGTGACTCAATTATTGAATACTGTCCCTGGCCCAGTCCCTCCCTTCTTGTCCCTCCAAAGACCTCCTCCTCAGCTTTTTGATCCTTTTCAATGCAACTTTTCTATTATCCTAACTGCTAAATGTGCTGTGCAGAAACAAAAGCCAACTGTTATGATGATATCAGGATCTATGTTGAGCATCCATTCCCTACCCAACTTTCTTAATTATCAAACTTTCATCAAGGTCTCTCAACCTTAGTGCTATTGTTTTTGGTATGGRCAATAATTTGTGGAGAATTAGCATGTGCATTGGAGGATGCCTTCTGCCATTAGATAGCAATTGCCAAAATGTCTCCAAGGAAGTAAATAGCTCCTTTTGAAAACTACTGCACTAAATTGGTTTTATGTTTACGGTATTCCATTTAGACAACCAAGTGTGTGTTTTAAAACTTAGTTTGTTATTTTATTAGTCATTGAAAAGTTTCTCCATCTTTACATTGTAAAAGGTTGTTACCTGCCACCAGCTATCTCCAACTACCAAGCAGGCAACAMTTAACATAAAATGAAATGTCATAAATTTCTTCCCCCAAACTGGTAACTCAGATTGGCAGGACAAATATGTCTATTATTCCCAAGCAAAATAAAGGGAAGACTCACAATAAAATGATGGCCCAGAATTCACACCAGCCAAAGTGGACATTTCTAAATTTGGAAAACCGTCACCTACACCATAAATTTGCCCAATCATTACAAAAGGTTAACTTTTAACTCAGGAAAAAATGACTGATTCACTTAAAGTAATCAAGTGGCCACTTAAATTTTCTAGTCAAACAGTTTCTCTAAACAGGAAAAATAAAATTATGGTTAAATTTTATTCTTACTTATCATCAGATGAAGACTCCTGCTCAACCTTCATTCCTTCAGAAAGACTTCCTTTAAATTTATCTTCCTTTACTTTGCTTCTGCTTCTTCGTCTGCGACCACCTCGTGAACSAGACCTCCTTCTCAAGCGTGATCTGCTCCTACGACCTCTGTCTCTATTTGAAGGTAAAGAAGATATATACACATTTTGAAAATGTCAAAATGGGGGAAGGCACATGTGTGGGGAGAAGAAATAAGAGAACTTTACTTCCTGCTCAATTTTATCATGAACCCCAAACTCCTTTATAATCTACTTTAAAAAAAAGGTAATTTAAGAAAAATAACAATATCACAACAGTGTAACTAAACATAACAGAACTAGCTACTGTTCTCAGCAAACATTTTAAACTAAATTTTTTTTTCTCATGAACAAAGACTTGTATGTTAAGCTCTATGAGGAATAAATATGTTTCTTTGCATTCCTCCCCCCCGCCCCAGGAATTGAACCCAGGACCTTTTGCATGCTAAGCAAGCACTTTAGCACTGAACTACATCCCCAGCCCCTCTTTGCATTCTTTTTTTTTGATGTTGAGAAACATAATATTTTAAAAGATGAAATACTCTAATACATGCAAAATAAAAACTTGAAACTGACATTGGGGTAACAACACTCTGTGGTGTAAACTAAAAAGTTAGAGGAAAATAATAATTAAAAAGAATTAATATAAAATATGCTCACAGTAGCTTTCCCCCATTTTTAAATCACCCAGCAAAGTAATATTCTTTCCACACTGAGTATACTCCTAATTTAACGAGACTGCTTAAAAAAATTAACAAAAAAGGAATAAGAAAAAAAGAAATGAATACATGACCTCCCTCCTGCCCAATTAATAACAAAATTCAGTTGATGAAAGGAGGGGGTTAAACCACAATCAGCAGATTACCAGTTTTCTGTTCCCCACTCCTATGTGGGCTGCTTGACACCTGGGCCTTCTGGGTTTGTGAGCTGTGTGCGTGCATGGCTCTGACTTCTGGAAGATTCCTCTTGGGCATTTAACATGGGGGCAGGGATGGGTATTCAYCTATGATTTCTTAGGTATAAATGGAGAGGGGCAGAAAATAAGATTCTTCCTTTTAGCCTGGTGGTGGAAGAAGGGATGTGGGCTGTGGATTTGCTAATTCACAGAATTGGAATTCACTGGCAGTAGAGTCCTGAGAAAATACTCTCTCTTAAAGCCTGAGAYAGCAGGGTACAGCCTTCAGACACGGTGCAGGCTGAAGTCCTCAGCCTCACACTGTGGTCCCACATCTTAGCACCTCGTTGGGGTATAGTGTCAGATCCCTGAGGCACTGGATTAGAAGTACTCAGGGCAATATCAAGCTCATAGAACCACCCRAGATGGCAGTCTGCCCCACCCTAGCCTCCGTGCTTACATCGGCCACGGATCCAGGAACTACAGCTCACTGGTGAAGCCCACCAGTGTTCTCCCTGCCTACACCAGGGGCCCACTGAAGAGCGCACAACGACTGCCTAGTAGTTAACTGGGTGCCACCTTCCCCTTGCGTTCATAGGCCAGCAGTACTAATGCGCTAGTGCTCATGCACTTGACGCCCACCTCGAAGGTGAACAGTAGTACTGTGAATTGTCACTAGCCACTGCCATGGAGCACGAGTCCATCAGGAATTTGAGGTTGAGTGACAGGCCCTGTGACACCTYCAGCAGCAGCTTTAGTAATACCTGCTCCACCCCATGGCAACGGTGTGTCATTATTCGGTAGCGGTCCACCAGGCCTGGCTGAGCAGACTGCTGTGGCCATCACAGCCAGATAGGTTGTGTGGGCTGAMCATTCGGTCAGCAACACCAACAGGTTGACCAGCTCTACTTGACTGTCTTGGTCTTTTCCAAAGTGGCCATGTTAAGCTGTTTCTGCACCACATGGGTAAAAATGGAGAGCCCTTCACACATGCAATAGTGTCCTGGCACTAYTCAAAGGACTTGCACCGGCACAAGAGGCTGGGCCCTAGAAAAGTACTGTATTAGCCTTGCTTGACAGCAGAAGCAGGTCAGCTACCAGTTGTAACTTGCCCTCATAGTAGTAGCAGTCACCAGCTGCTTCTGTGGCTGTGAGCTGGCCCTAATGAAGGTGCTCTCAGGTGCTGGAGAGACAGCCTGGTTGGTGGGTTTTCCAGCGCTGGCGCTAGCCATCACGTGGGGATGAGGATGGGGTTGCACTGGCATGCCACTGGGGAATCTGCTACTACCAACTCTGTAACTCAGCTGGCCCTAGTGCCTTCCCCACACCATAATGCCATCACCATCAAGGTCAGAAGGCACTGGGCTGTGGCATGGAGCCTGGGCAGTGTGGGAGCAAACCTATGATACAGAGAACACTGGAGGCTCTTCTGGTCCTGAGGAAGAGCTGCGGCATAAGGCCTCCTAGAAAGCTTGTAGGAAGCATGAACCCCAGCAGAACAAACTCAGTCCATGATCCTCACTGTGGAGCTGCCAGGAAAAGTCTCTTCTTCTGGACATTGCCGCCTTCTTGGTCATGACATGGCATGGCCTGGCCGTCTGAGAAGAGAGGGCAGAACAGGGAGGCTGGGAATTGTCCTCCCTTTCTTTCAAATGAAAATCCTTTGGTCCAGGAGGTGCTCCATCGGTGGCCAGTGGGTTGGGCTGTCAGCTGCTGTGACCCCGACAGGAGGCACTTCTCCAGGAAGGCTCTGGAACACACAGCAGAACTGGGCACATCTTCTAACTCACTCTGTGGAAGAGGTGCCAGCAGTGGCTGCAAGGCTGAGGGTGTGGCAGTGCTGTCCTGGCTGCATGGTGGGAGCGTGTACTGAGTACACACAGTGGCTGCCCAGCTTGCACCTTTGCCTGCCTCATGCTGGCTTTTGGCGCAAGTCCATCCTGGCGCTCCACCTTCTTAGGCCCTGCAGCTTTTGATCTCTCTGGAAGCTGTGTGCATTGTGTCTACCCAATCAGAGGGTCCCTGTGTTGCTGTGGCCATCAGTAGGGTGCCAGGCTTTTGCCAACCACCAACTTCACCTGCTTTTCTCTCTGTGTCCCACTGAGTACCAGCCCGCTAGGACCACCGGAGGCTTCCCCYGCCCTTCTTTGTATTCTTATAGTACCAAGGTTGTGTGGTACACCGAAAGCTAATGAATCCATACCAATGAATACAGTAAAAATGTTTTCCTCTGGTCTCATCAGTTGAATTGTATGATTACCAAAAGTCAACCCCATTCTCTAAGCTGTTTACGCTATTATTCATACTCATTTTTAACTACATGATTAATTATGTAAGCTTATGAAAAATATAAAAAAGGTTTTCTAGGAAAACCAAGTTGAAACTATAGGAACAGAAAACACACAGCTGGTTACCCAGGGCTGGAATGAAGGAAGAGACTGACTACTAAGGGAGATGTTCTCTACCCTGTGACTGTATGTGCCTGCCAATACTCAACCTACACAAAAGAAGGTGACTTTTATTTTATACAAATTATGTTTTGGGGATGGGGTTGTGGMTCAGCGGTAGAGCACTCGCCTAGCATGTGTAAGGCAATGGGTTTGATCCTCAGCACCACATAAAAATAAATTAAATAAAGGTATTGTGACCAACTACACCTAAAAATTACATATTAAAAAATTACGTTTCAATAAACACAATATAAAGAGAATGCGAATACATGATTGCAGAGATGCCAAGAAAAATCATCAAATGTGCAAATTAGGTATTATTATTATCATCATCATTACTGTTTTGGAGATAGAGTCCCACTATGTTGCCCAGGTTACCCTGGAACTCTTGATCCTTCCTTTTCAGCCTCCTGAGTAGCTGGGATTATAGGTATGTGTCATCATGCCCAGCTTTGAAATGTGCAAACTGAATTGAAGAGTAACAAATCAAATAAAGTTGAACATGAGTTCAAACACACAAAGTAGGACAGAGACAAATCTGAGCATAACACTCTAAAGAGGCCAGGAACTCCGTAAACTCTAAAGGATGGAGTATAAGGTAAAAGTTGGAAATAATTGGTTGAAAGCCTATAGAAACAGACTCTTGTATATTCCCCTCCCCACTTCAGTGGAAAATGCCAAACACTCCCTTCATAATGTGACAGAATACTTAAAGATACTTGCTGGGCACAGTGGCATGTACCTTTAATTCCAGTGACGGGGAGGTTAAARCAGAAGATTGCAAGTATGAGATCAGTTATCAATAACTTAGCAAGACCATGTCTCAAACAAACAACAGCAATAACAAGAACAACAACAAAAGGGCTGGGGGTATAGCTTATTAGTACAGTGTCCCTGGGTTCAATCCTTGGTACCAAAGCAGGGGTGGGAGATTTATTTTCTTGGGGCTGGTAATAGGGTTAGGGTTAGGTATACTCAGTGGTAGAGCACTTGCCTAATACACACAAGGCCTGGATTCAATCCCCACCACTAAAAAATAAAGAAACTTTTAAAAAGTTTACTTTGAGGTTGTTATAAAAATTGACAAGACACTTGGTGGTGCTTTACCAAAAACAGAGGTGAAGGGAAAGTTTACATCATGAAGAATCAGAACTCTACTGTACCAGGTTTATATATAGGATGTCAGAGAATTCTGAAAAACTTACTAGGCCCAGAGAAAAGACTGGTATTTTAAAAAGTCTCTAGTTCCTAAAGTGATACCATGAAGTGGTAGTCTCCAGCTGAAGACAATTTCCATTCAGCTTTTTAAGTGTCTAACTATGAAATTAGAACAGAAAAACGCTGACTGATGCAGCTTTCTGAGGAAAGTCTTCAAATAAAAATGTAAACAATAGCAAGAAAAGAGAGAAAGAGAGAGAGCCAGGCACAGTGGTGCATGCCTGTAATCCCAAGGCTGAGGCAGGAGAACTGCCAGCCTCAGCTACTTAGCAAGGCCCTAAAGCAACTTAGTGTGACCCTGTCTCAAAATATTAAAAAGGGCTGGGAATATGGTGTGGGAGACCAACCTTGCAAGTGACTCAGTCACCTCCCCTGGTGGGTGCTAAGGCGCTTAGTCACAGAAATGTGGTAGAGCTTTCCCCACCCTTCTGGGRTTCGAGGGTCTGTGTCTCATGCATGGGTGTGTCTTGCTACAGSCCCATGGGTGGAGCTATGCTCACCTGTTCCTTTGTATGTAATATAACCCCTTGCCCTGTTTAGGATAGAATCTTCCATGGAAGTGCCTTGTGTATGTCTCCTTCTCTTAATGTGCCCTTGGTTGTGACCTACCCAGGTTGTCAGTCAACCTGCTGACAGCGGACATCATGAAGATAGACTCAGCCCCCTGAAAGCTGACCCCTTGCCTCATTTAAATAGCTTCTCCTCAATAAAAGGGGTCAGCGCGTGCTCTCGCTCTCTCTCTTCCTGCGGACCTGTAAGGTCAGAGGAGCCGTCACACCGACCCCAAAGAAAAAGGTATTTGTGTCTCTTGTGTGGTTATTTTGCGCAGCTCAATTAGCCCAGTTTATCTGGAGTGACCCCTGAGCCTTTTAGTCKCGAGAACAGAAACCTGGCAATATGGCTTAATGGTTAAATGCCAGGTTAAAAAACAAAAACAAACCCAAAACAAACATAAAACAAGACATTTATTATAAATTTAAAGATGAAGAAAGAAAAAAAGCACCCAGGAATCAGAATTAGGCTCTCAAGGGCAATATTGAAAACTACAGATCAATAGAATGATTTAAAGATTCTCAAAGAATGACTTCAACCAGGAATTCTATTCCTTTCTAAATCAGCAATGAGAATAAAAGGTACTTTTTAGAGATGAAAGGCTCCAAAAAATGTCCCTTCTATGTGCTCACATAGCTATTAAAGATGGGTTACCAAAACACAGGAATGATTAGAAAAAGATCACATGAAATAAAGAGGGAATACCAAGAGGATGGCAGTAGGAAAGCAATACAAGGATAACTGTATTAGCAGTCATAGAGAACGATGTGGAGAAGTCAACAAYGAGAATTAGAAGAAAGGTCCCCTCTTCTCTCCTCCCACCACTATTTGCTCAGCAGTGAACCAACACAGGATAATGCTTACACTGACTCTTAAAGCATACAAAATACAATAAAATTGGGTGGAAGAGAATTATGCGTAAGGGTGGTATTAAAAAGCCCTCACTGTCCGAAAGTACTCTCAGACCATGTATTTCTACATCCAGGAATATAGTATACAAAAATTTTCAGATATGTAAATATAAGCCTTGGATATGTTGTCTTTAAATCATATTCAATCAAAAATATTATAAGATTGGCAAGTGAATGTTCATCTACGGTTTAATGTACATATGCATTTAAAAACATGATTCCCTGCTTTAAAAACATTCTTTTTGATTAACTACATGTATGTTAGAAAAAAATGGTTTTCTAACAGTGAATTACATAGGTTTTTGACCAAGACTCCTCAGGAGTCAATTATACATAATAATTATAAAAAGAAACTGAGTTACTTATTTACCACCCCCTGAGCCTGTCAGCTAAAACACCAAGATCTTTAAACTTAGCTCATTTAGTATTTAGCTCTCTTTAAAAAAAGGGAAGTCCTACTTAAAAAAAAAAAAAATATATATATATATATATTTTGGTAGTGCTGGGGATTGAGCCCAGGACATTGTGCATGCAAGGCAAGCACTTTACCAACCAAGCTATATCCTCAGCCCTTAAAAGACTGAATTTTTAATGAACAATGATTTGATGGGAAACTATATTAAAGACAAATTAATGTTTATGAAACATCACATTTTGGCAAACACAAAATACGGGATCTCAGCTAAAAATTTTCAGAGAAAAATGCTCTATAGGAAAACTTAACTAAGCTAAATRGAGCTTCAAAAACATTCAAAGGTTAATTAATCAGTAATAACATATGTAATTAATTATATTTACCTTCTCCGAGGAGACCTGCTTCTTCTTCTTGGAGATCTGCTACGTCTAAGTGGGGAGCGYGACCTTCGTCTAATGGGAGATCTACTTGTTCTTCTTCGGGTTGGAGACCACCTATTAATAGGGCTGGCATCTTTTGATCTTTCACGTCTACTGAGGATATCATCTCGAGGTCGTGTTCTTAAGGGGAAAATATACAAGTTAACAGAATAACAAATMGACCTAAAAGAATCTGTTCTACATATAAAGAATATCTTAAGACATCAATCCAATGATAATGATACAAACTGATGTGTTTTAAATAAAAACTTAAATTCAATTGAGGACCACAATGACATTTTGGTATTATGAAACATTCAATAAAAGTCTGTTTGCTAGGCCTCACAATTTGAAGAATGTTAAAGCCTATCCACATTCATAAAGCCATTGATTACAATTTCAAATTAACAACTCAAACAAAAGTTTCCTAAAAGGGTAATATCATTCCATTTCATCAGCTGGAAGTTTATTTCTATAACGTGACATTTCTGCAGTTAAGAATTGTACCTTTAATATCAATTTTGTATAATAGTATCTTACAATGGTAAACCTCAAAATTGAGGAAATACCTCAGCCTCTCCAAAATCAACTTTCCCCTAAGTTTTAGTCTGTTCAACATGATATCAATGTTATTATAAGCCTTTCTGCAACTTCATTTTTTTAGGTTTTGAACATTTCTTTCAGATGCTCTTTCAGATTTGCATAGAACTAGTCAATCCAAACAATCAGGACAACTTGTAAATAGGTTTGTCTTAACAAATAATAACATTATAGTATTTCCCCCTGGATAAAAACATGAAAACACAACCTGCCTTATGTGTTTGGACATGGTATACAGAACCTAAAAGAATCTTTTTTTGATCTAGCCAAAATAAGCAAAGTAGACTTTGATTCAGAAATGCAGTACTTCTTGATAGGGCCATCTGTGAAAAATTGTTTTTCATATATATTCTGTTTACACACTCTTTTCAAAGACCAGTTAAAAACTGTAAATGATAGGATAAGAATGTAGCAGTCAGGGAGAATTATTTGCTTAAATGCAATGAAAATAAAAATGCTTAACCTTTATTGATAGGGCATTCAAATTTAAAATGTCCCCTCCCCTTTTTAAGGTGACAAACTGGTAATTATATGATTTCTTAGTTAATAAGGGTTTGGGGAAAAGGACTGTCTGCATAGTCTTGGAAGCAGAAGGTCGTTTAACTTTCCTGAAAGGAAATTTGGCAGTAAGACTTTCTAAAATGTAAATGCACACACTAGGAGATTTTGCAAGTCAACTTCTCAGAATCATTTGCTGAAGCCTCACACATAAGCTATGAAGATCTTTGCACCCAACAGTGAAAATCGTGAATCAATCTAAATTTTCATCAGTTTCAACAAAACTGGATACTTTTGGTACATATACCCTGTGAAATACATACCATGTTGTTATAAAGAATTAAAAAGATTCTATATGTAATGTCACTGAAGTATTCATAAAAGAATACTATGTTAATGTAAATAATCACTCCATTTTTATAAGAAAACACTTACATTTGCATAGAAAACGGGTTAGAAGGCACAAAATTGTTGGAGTGGTTATAGAAGGATGGAGGAGAGAACTTATGGGTTTCTGCATTATTTGAATTTCTCTTTAGCACATACCACTTTTATAATTAAAAGCATTTTGTCTTGTTTCAAATACACAGGTCTGGTATTGAATTGCCTCTTCAAACTGAAAGACTATCAGGATAACTAAGAAACACTTTCAATTCGACAATCGACAATCAACAAGACTAATATGGGCTTCAACACAAAAAGTTAAAGGGAGGCTATTTCATTAAAACATACCACTTAGAAGTGAAGAGCAAAGAATCAAAATTATCTCTAAAAGCACTGTAAAAACAACTCTTGAAATTTCTGAGAATGTGATGACTTAAACTCTAAAATTATACTGATACCCATACAATAAAAAACTAATATGAATATAGTAAATGGCTAGGAATTAATATTCTTATAAACTAACATTTTCCTAATAAGCAAATCTTTGCCGGCAAGTTTATACAATTACTGAATATATAGCAGATATTAATAAAACCAGTTTCTAAAGTAGTTYAGAATGGTCTGAATCTCCCTACACACATCCCCAAATTTAGTTCTATGATCCTAATCACATAGCTTCTGATTCTACATCATTTAAAAATTTGATCTAATCTTCCATCCCCACCACATGAGTTTTAGATAATCTCATGAAGATTCAATAGTTAAATTACGTGGATTTAAATGAATGACCTAGCAAATTAGATACTAAATTAAACCAAGAACTTGGAAAAAAAAACATCTAATCTCACTGTCAAAAGCATAAATGTTAATGACAGGACTAGATTATAAAATCGAGAACTCACGATTTCCTCATTTTTAACTATCCTTAAGTTCTACTTCCCATTTAAAATATAGCATATCAGTAAAAAGCATTAATATTTTGTAAAGACATTACCTTGGAGAAGAAAGTCGTCTTCTTTCGGGTTCTCTTCGTTTTCTTTCTAAGGATCGGCTCTTGGCTCTTCTACCCGGAGACAGAGTTCGAGAAGGTGATTTGCTTTGCTTAGATCTTCTATCATTTAGAAGTGGAGATCTACTTCTTCTTGATTTTTCAYGTTGTTTTGGAGACAAACTTCTTCTTTTAGGACTACGACCAGGTCTTCTACTGGGTGACCTATTTTCTTTCCCAGAAGAAGCATCTTTAGAGGGAGATTTAATTGGCTTCTTTTCTTTATCAGTTTCAGACCTTTTTGATTTTCTGTCTTTGGACCGCGACCTTCTGTCTTT